GATGTGTAAGAAAGACACAAAAATTTGYCATTAACATGCGTGCTTTACTACTCATCAGGGTTACAGTATTTGCATATCCCAACTGAAGCTTGCTCATGTTGGGCCATGAGACATTTTAGTTAAAACTAACTATCCTTTTGTATCAAATTCAAAAGCAATTCTTAATGCACTGGGGACTGTGTAGAGCAACAGATAATCTGGTATATTACTATTCTATTTCTATTTCTGTTACATTTCTATTAATACTGGGTTTGGATTTAGGCTTTGTGGTGAGGCAGGTTCACACGAACTAGCATAGCCAACTATTTTAGAGCACCTAATTAGGAGCCTGGTCACCATTGTCCAGAATGGACCAATTCTGGACCAATGTCCAGAATATAGTTGGTTTAGCTCTTTGTCCTGTTTCAGGRTAACACTTGTGCTAATTTGATTCCTGCTTCCTGCCCTGAACTGAGATTTTAGTGTGAGAAAAGAAGGTGCTGTGAGCAAGTGTGATGTTGTTCTGTGTCTCTGCTCTGTAACGGAAAGGAGGAAAGAGATCACAGCATGTGCAGAAAGTTGAAAACGGAGGTTATCACATCTGCAGTGTCTGATATAGGATATTCATGGCAGGTCATTTGATAGAGTTCTAGGGAACAGGGTTTGTTCCATGTTATAAAATGGCAATGGTGTCTCTCTACAGATAAATAACACATAGGGTATTTTTTGTTTCTTTTTTTTAATGTGTATAGTGTAAACACTGCTAATCTTTTCAAGTTTCATCTTTAGGAGTCTCCATAGTGCAGAGGATTAGAGCTGTCATGATGTGTTTACTCACAGCTTCCATCTTTCACCCGTAATTGCTCTTAAATATCTTGAGGAAATGCTGTGAATTATCGAGCTTCTTTTTTATTATTTTATTTTATTTTTTTTTCTTTTTTCCCCAGGCACAGAAAGCACAGAAGCCTAGTAGAGGTTTGTAAACAGGGTGTCTAATTACATGACTGATACAGACTCTTAATGTAGGTTCATCATCACTTCCCTAGGTATCTATGGCCAAATGGCACGATATTCCCAGGCATTAGCTCTCATATAAGAAATATGTTCTGCTTCACAGTAACTACATAGAGTGGATCGTAGGTAGTTTTATAAATACACAAGGACAGTTTTGAATCACTTGGAAGAGAGAGAGAAATAATAGATTTGCTAATTCCTTGACTTCTACCTCACCTGCCTATGCTGTATCCTGAAACACCAGTGTGTATCTTCAAATAGAGCTACACAAATAATCCCAGCCTCTTTGTCACAAGAGATTTTGCAGTTGAACTTGGAGCAAAAGCATTAAGTAGCTGTTGGTAGAAAAATTTCCTGTCAGCTTAGTCCTGCGATGACTGTGTTGGACTTTTTCATGTTCTGTTATGCAAGCAGATGTTTTTTAGTAGATGAGTTGGGTGGTTTTGGTTTGCTTTCAGTGAAAAGAGGAACTTTTGACAGGCATTGTGAATTCTGCATGAAAGTATTAATTAAATTGTGGAACACAAGTAATTCCACCATCGTAGAAAATGAGAAAAACAGAAATTCAGAGCCTAGCAGAATAAAACATAAACTTTTCAAGAAATGTTTGCTGTTCCAGTTCATTAACGCACTGCCTCTGTTAGACAGCATTTTTTAAAGACTATAAAAATTAATTGTGTTTTTAAAGATCTACTATATTGGCATGTTTATTCATGCCAATGAATAAACACTGAAGTACTGAAGTCGGGCTGAATTACTGTGTTTTCCTGTTGTTCGATTATTTTTGCTTCTTTAAAATAAACGTTTATACAGGATTTTGCTAGTTTTGTGACTGTTCACAGTTGTTCCCCTGCCCCCCCCATCCCCCCATAAAAATTTTCAAAGGAATCCAAAATAGCTAAAAGGTGAAATTGCTTTGGGCATTTTCTCATCACTTAGTCTGCTTTCTACTTAGTGTTTCCTTCTTCCTTATAACATTTGGGGTTTTTTATTCTCATTTACTTTACCTCTTCATCATCAGTTCCTTTTGCTTTTGTGCCATCCCCCCTTTTTGTCTCTGAGCTTTGTCTGAATGAATACATTCTTCCTCTCCCCTTCCCAGGACAGTTTTTCTTTGATCTCAGATTTTCAAGCAGCTATAGTAGTAAAGTAATAGAGACTGGCCACTTCTTGCATTTTTATTCCAGAAGAAGTGCTGATTGGCAGGCATTATTTTAGCAWATTTTGTCTGCTTAAAAGATTGCAAAGCTCTTTCCTATGCTGGTGGATTTTAAAGTTTATTCCTGTGACATTCGGCTTTTGAGTGTTTGAGCTTATTTGGTCCCACGCTAAGTTATATTTACCAAGTCTARTTAATAGTGGTGTTTTCATGCATCCCTCCATCCTGCTCTTTCAGCCTGAAATGACTTTTTTAGATCATGTTAAAATAGGTCACTGGTGGATCCTCCTCTACTTAATTAGTGTTTCTGCTTCCGGATTATTATATAAGTTTCTGTCCAGCTTTTGGCTATTCTGGCTATATTTTTACTTGAAGCTTTTCTGTGCTCTGTGTCCCATGAGCATAGCTCTCAGTACAGCCTGTCTGCTGGCTGATCACCAAAGTCTTAGCGATCACAAAGTCAGCAGTTCTCTTTCGGTTTGTTCATCTTGCTTTCTTTAGCTCAGCATCCTTTAGCCTCATTCGTTCTCTTGAAAATGTAGTTCCCCGATACTTGTAAGTTTTAACAATTAAAAGCTGAAGTGGTGAATGCAACATTCGCAATGTTCTTTATGTCGTAAGCAGTAGTCCACCAATGATCTAGTGCTCCATCGTTGTCGGTTGGCCTATACTAGTAAACCACTTGACAGGTACTGTGACCACTGTGATCTTCCTCTCAGCCCCTAGTTGTTGCTTTTGCTGCTCTGCAGGAGCTAAAGCCCTGTTACCTGTGTCCCTGCTACCATCTGCTTTTTCTTCCAAAATTACTACCTATCCCTTTCTCTCAAGTTAGGAACATTTTGCTTAAGTAATAAAAAAAAAAAAAAAATCTGAATGAGTCTGGATTATTAAAGTCTGGGAGTTAAATTCTTGGCTCTACTTAATATTTGAATTTATTGAGCTTTCTAGCATCTAGCTTGGAGTTTGCAGTTTCTTTTTCACACCTTATAAAAATTAACCACCCCAAAACGCAGAACTTCCTCCAAGTTTATCAGCCAATAGCATAAAAGATTCAGTAACKCTTCCTACAAACCTTGCTTTTCTCATATCCTTATGACAACACAGCTACAACAAAGCTAATGCTCTTCATCTCATATTCACATGCTAATCTAACTTGGCAGTCTCCATAATGCTCTTGATTTATGCAGTCTAGTGAAATAGCTCAATTACACTTTGGTTGTAGTTTCATATAATGTCTTCTGCAATTTCAAAGTGGATTTCTGCTGAGAGGTGATATTCTCCTTCCATCTCCTGCTGTGCATTCTGACTTTGTATGAGATCTGGTGATTGTGGGGCCTTCCGATCAGTTGGATCATCTTGCTGCTTTAACAGAAAATTAGCATCTGCAAACTATTCCTTTCTGTGAGAGTTGTTGATCTGACTAACAGTGTCTGTCCTGTGCATCACCAGTTGAGCAAAAGGATTTGGGAAGATCATGTCTTTCACAGACAGCCCTTAGCTATAGRTTAAATTCAATACTAATAATTCAGTGTGTATATTACATGTCATGAGAAGTGCAGACAGTGTTAGATATCCACCCTGCTCTTGAATGAACTTCTGTGAACTGTTGGCAATGCCATCTGGCACGAAATCACAGGCAGTGCCCTAGGTTCCTATCCAGTGGAAAGCCCCTGGTACTGTCCTCGTGTGCACAACATCAACTGTTTCCATGCTGAAGTCTTTAGAGTTACTTGTCTTTCAGAGGGTATCACTTGGTTCTCCTTTTACTACTCTACAGACTTTTGTTTTACTCATAGCTGCACTTATTTGGGAAGAGGACATCAGCTAAGGGATGAGAAGATGAGSTAAGGCTGCTCTGAAAGTGGAGCCAGTATTACTGGTGAAGCCTAGAGCTCAGGGAGGTTGCTGGAGATACCAATAAGTACCATTAAGTGTTCCTGCCACATCAGCGTCTTTCTGCCTCTTGGTTTGAAACAGGTTCTGATAAGCAATATGGCATAACTAAACTTTTTTGTTTTTAAATTCCTTGCTTTTCTTGTTTCTTTCTGTATAACTATACTGATTATACCCCCTACTGATTTATTCTGTGTAGTTACCTTTGCCAGTTAGTAAAATACTCCTTGAATAGTTGGACGTTTTCTCACAAACTGAAAGTAAGTATCCAGTTTTATGGTAACAGGAAGCTCAATAATTAGATTGCTTTAAAAAGTAATTGCCAAAAATACTGTAAGTCTTCAAATGGTGTCTTATCATTGACTGTTTGACGGATGCAGAAGGTAAAGATCATTATTGCTTATAATAATTTTCTACAGATTTTACTGTTGATGCCTATAAAATTATCTGTGTAGTTGGTTTTTGTTTTAGTGCTGAGCTTTGCTAAGGTCACTAGTCCTCAATTCTGCTCCCAGTACAGTCTGTTAGCTAGTCTGAGCACTAGGTTTATTTGGCATTGAGAGCACAGGAAAGTCACTGTCCTCGTTATATTCAGTTAATTTGTTTTGTCCTGCACTGCAGGCAGACGCACAAGTACAATAACGATCTTGATTTTCAATTGTACACATCAGCTCTAGACAGAATAGTCTCAAGATAGAGGGCTGTGATTAAAACATGTCAATCAGGCAGTCCTGATGACTGATTGCTAGTGAAGAGAGCCCGTGGATGCCGGATTAGGCCACTTGCATTTACACTAACGACTATAATGAAAATGCTGTTTTAGTAGTAGTTGATTTCCTTTGTTATTCCCACTGCCTATCCCTCCCCATTTCCCTTAATTGGAACTTTATTCTTATGTGATCACACTGAAGCTATTTCTGACAGTATCTTCTGCTACCATCGGCTTATTTTCTAGATGGGAAGTGACGGAGTTTTGCGCCTCAGTAGTTCTGCTCTAAATAATGAATTCTTTGCATATGCAGCACAAGGGTGGAAACAGCGATTGGCAGAAGGTAACTCTCCTTGTTCTCAGATTTACCAGATATTAATTATTTTTATGAAGGATGCCTTTGTTTCTGTGTTTGAGAAATACTGTGAGAATGGAAAACGTAATCCAGCAGCAATTCAGCAGTGAAAAAATGCTGATTCCATTTTGAATTTTACAGCCTGCCGTGGCAGCTCATTTTGACAGTTAGGAAAAAAAATACAAAAAGCATTTTCATCACTGTCAGACTTGGAAACATAAATGCATGTGACTAAATCCTTCCAATATACCTTGTAAATACTGAAGTTATATGCTAAGCGAAATCTTTCTAGGTCAAACTCGCTTTTACTTTTCTTCATTTCAATTTTGGATTACTGGATGACTGTAAGAGCTATGTGTCATATGTGTATCTGTAAATTACAATGATCCTGTATTAGACTAAACCTTGACAACTTTTATTCAATATGTTAGTATTTGTTTTTTAGGGGAATTTACTCCAGAAATGCAGTTGCGCATCCGACAAGAGATTGAAAAAGAAAAGAAAACTGAACCTTGGAAAGAAAAATTCTTTGAGAGGTTTTATGGTGAAAAGTAAGTACTGAAGCAAATAAAAGCATTTTTTTCATTTTCTTTTAGGAGGAAATGAAAATATAATTCTCTGCTTCCCATAGTGCAGGCATATGCTGTAAAACTTAATAAGGCAGTTATCCAAGGCAGTCATTCCCCATATAAGAAGCTGTGGGTAGAATTATAGTGGCATGTCTGCACTTGCATTACGATTGCATTTTTAAGGTTTATAACTCATCCATAAAAATTCATTCTGAGGAAAGCTTAGGACACAAGGCCTAAGCATGTGAGTATTTTTTTATTTTTATTTCTAAAGATGGCTAAGAGCAGTTCTCGTCTCCTGCAAAATATAAAATCAGTCTCTGCAGAACAGAAGACTACTAGTTTGATTTTAATTATTTTTTCTAAGTAAGTTAATCATGAAAACCTTTAAAATCAAATGGTGCTTTTGAGTCTTTGACCCAGGTGGCCTTCCACTGGGCTGAAAAGTGCAACATGGAAAAAGCACTGCCTAGAACTAATCCCCCTGAAAGTGACACAAGCTGCTGCTATTTTGGAAGTGAGACGCAAAGAATAAATATTGGCTAAAATGGATTAGAAAGTATCACTGCAGGTGCTCAGCTGAGGTGGGTCAGCACGGTTTTCTTGGTGCTGACACAGAGAGGACATTCTGCAACAGCTAAAGATGCAGCCGTTAGATTCTGTCTCTTTCCTTTTTTTTTCCTAAGATTTTCTTCAGATTTAAGAATCTTGCTTTTAAAGACGACATCTAAACATTATTCCATCACACTTATCTAAAAATTATTCCATCAACACTTTGAATTACATCTCTGTTAAAAAACACAGAATTATATCAATTTTTTATTTTAAGGTATGTTTTAATGCAATTTCTTAATAACATATAGTAGACAAAAATGTCTCAAAGGAACCATTATGATTTGAGAGTTCTTTTATTGCTATTAGGTATTTTTTATTTAGGAAATCAGGAGCACTGAGAATCCTGCAAGTGAGTAATGCACTTAAAAGCTATAGCATTGATTAAAGCATTTGTGTAGCCAGCGGCTGCTTCTCTCAATCCACTGGACTTGGACCACTAAAAACTGTGGTGTAGTGAAAACAAGGCAACAAGTACACAGATTAACTGTAATGTTTGCCTTGTKTATGTGCTTTCTCCTGATGTGAAGCTATTTGTACTTCAAATATAATGCAAGTTCTGTGGTGTTCGCATGGCAGATTTTTTTTTTTTTTGCTGTTGTTGTCAAATGCTTAATTTCATATTTAAAAGCTTTGAGAGCTCAATTTAATCCAGCTCTTAATCCCTTTCATATAAAAARAGTATTAATTAGCTTGTTAGGTAAGCAGCATAATGGCTTTCCATTATGCCTGTCGAGATAAGCCACTTAGAGATTCTGCACGAAGGAGAAAACTATGTAAGGTGCTACCACAGAAAGTAGAAGTTTAATAACAACAAAGCAGGAGCAGCTCATTCTGGCTCAAACGTATCCCAAAGTCACAAATGAGTATCACATGCACAGAGAATGTTACTCATAATTTTACAGAGCCAGAAGCCCTGCTGTGCTAGCTGAATGCTGCTTGCTATAGCAGTTGGCAGATAATACCTCACTCTGCAGTGATACMTGTCATTTGGAATGATAGATTCCTGACATCCCCATTGTTATGCAAAATGTCATATCCTACATAATATCTGTTTCTGACTACAGGAGTGAATCTGCTTCCCCCTTCCCTCCCCTTCCCTCTCCCCAGCTTAGGTTGTTTCAGTTGCCTTCTTTTTCCTGCCTAATATGCAGGCAACCTCCACTTCACAGCTGCTCGGCCAGTCTTAAGTATTTTTCCCCATTATTTAAAGGTTGCCTGGTAATTCTTGCTATAGTTACACCCGGTAAAAATTCTTACATTTTTTCCTTTATCAGCTTTTAAACTTGCTTTGAGCATGATTGGATTTTGTCTAATTTTAGTTCTGTTTTTACTGCTGAAGTAGCAGATCCTGCGAGCTTTCTGAACTTTTGCACAGTGACTTTGGCTACTTTAATCTTTAGATACTCCATAACTAAATTCAGCTTTTACCTAGAAAAGGGACAATTAATAGAGTCATTGTAATCATTTTTACATACTGTGGAGCTCGTGACTTTGAAAGGCTTCCATGTAGGCTCTCTGCATTGCTTTTCATTTGCTCGTATCTGTGGCCAGGCCATTCAGCATGAGACTGTCAATTGTAGTTTCCATCCATCCATTTTATGTTTTTTTTTTTTTTCCTGCTTTTGCAGTTCTGTTTCTCCTGGTCATTCCTCTTTTCCTCTCTCTGACTTTGTTTGAAAAACTGGGACTTCTGTGGTCATTTATCCCGGGCCAGCTGATGCGCGTGGCCAGAAACGCTCGTTCTGGCTTTGCCCCCAGGATTGCAAGGGTCATATTCCAGGGTCTCACTGTTTTATTTCTTTTCCTACTCTTGAGAGAGTTGCATGTCAAGATGGTGCTGTCAGCCCACTAAATCAAAAGCTTCATTTTGGGCATATTTCTACTAATTTTTATTGCTGATTTAACCCTTCATTAATTTTTAATATTTTCCCTGGCTCTTCTCACAGCAGTAGAACATCAGCCTCTATGTATTTTTGAGTAGCTGTTTGGTCTTTTTTTCATTTGATGAGTGTCCTTACTTTATCACTTGCATCCTGCCCTTACTGGCTCATTCAGAGATGACTGTTCACTGCTCTTCTCGTATTTTCCTGCTTTATTGCAAGCTTTGGCTGTCTGTCTCTGTAAGGAAAACAGGCAGATCAGCTGTTTATCTTGCAATGTGGGCTTGTCTTAAACATGCTGATCTCAAGTCCTCCCTTGAAAGTCTTTTTCCTCACTGCAGTATCTTAAGATAGTAGTACTTTTAATACTGAATAAAACTAATTAAGATTCAGCACATGTTCTGCTGGCCTTAATCCTGCATTATATTATTCTTGTACTTCCTCCTCTTCCTCAATATGTTACTTGGAGGTGTAAATTTTTGTAGTGTCTCTGTGACACTTACATTCACCTTTATCACCTTTATCTTATTCTTTATATTCCTTTGCTAATTTTCCTTCTGTAAGGACCACCATCAGGCATTGTCATTTGTGATATGAGGCAGCTGGAGAAAATAGACCATAGATTTATGTTTTAGTAATACAGAGATGGTTGTCATTCTCCTCATTTTCCCGAGATAACTTTTTAATTTTTTTTTAGGAGAAGGATTTTTTCACCTAAAATTAGTTGTCTGGTTCCATATATAGTCTATCAAGAGAGCAACATTTTCAGAAAGATATTCAGTGTGGGAGAGGTAAATTAGCTGCTCTGAATTTCTCTCTGGAGGATCCTCCCTCAGCCTATTGATGGCACAGGGAGGCTATATACATATATTAAGTGACTAGTGGTAGGTAATACTAATAATTACCATAAGAGTCCTTCTTGGATTCCAATTCCAGCCTGATTTTTTTTAATGTTTGTGACTATCATTGTGAATAATGTATCTTTTCAATATTTTGCAAATCCATGATCACAGAATTGAATTTTTAAATATTTATTCCATGCTTTCACATATATAGGCCGCCGTGATCTCTCTGGCCATACATTGATAAAGTTCTCTTGCTTCCTTAATTTCTGACTACCTGACATGCTTGCTAGGCAGCCATATTATTCTTCAGTTAGGTTGTTTAACATAGGAATAGCCAGGCTTTTGTGCATTTTCTAGTGTTAGGGAATTGCTCAGGCACAATGTGTGTTTGGAAGATCTTATTAAAGATGCTGAACACCAGCACTGCCACTCCCCATAGTGCGGAATAAGGATGGCAGAGAGCATAATTTAAAAAAAAAAAAACCTTTTTCCAGCCCCGATTTTTCAATCGTCTCAAAGTAATAAAGGTAAGAACATCTTCTGAAATATAGAGAGATTCATATGAAATACTCCAGTACTTCACTTGCACTTCATCCTTGAARATGCATAAAATATAAAGAAATATGAATATAGCCCTTGGTAATATTGGATGAATGGCATATGCATAAATCTGCTTATTTAGAAATAGTTTATTAACATAAATGGAGTATTTATAGGGTGCTGAAAAAATACAAGTTGTCAAATGGTATCTTTGTAATTGACTCTTGACTGGTAAAATGAGGCTGGGATTGAGTTATTTTTATTTCCATCACATGTGTGAAATSATTGTAGGATTACAAAACTGAAAGGAAAGCATATTTTATTTATTAGTTTTAGATGCAGAACTTTCATTCAAGGGCAGCATTTAAGCCTTTTTGCTGGCTGTGTTGACTCTAAATAGGAAGGAGGAAAAGGGATTTTCCCCAGAACTGTTACTGGTGGAAGAAGACACATTTATGCTTTTCGTCTGCCGCATCAGTAGTGTTAGTGTTTCAATATTGTGCTAATAGAAAAAAAAAAAAAAACACAACACTAATGAAAATGTCAAATAGTTAAATAATGAAGAATAAAGTATTTAGGTTTTTATTATTTTACTTTCTTAACAAGGATAGGACAAGTTGGGTCACTCATTTTCCAAAATACACAAAACCATCTTTTTAATCATATACATTTGTCTGCTACTATTTAATCAAACTGTTACTTTAAACTGGACAAAATGTCCTTTTCATAAATAGAATACATGAGAATAGAGTGAACTTATTCCTCTTATGTCTGCAGCACAACAGCTTTTTAATTTGTGTGTTTTTATGTAGGTCGGGAATGTCAAGAGGGGAATCGATGAAACTCACTGCAGTACAGAACAATGACCAAGATGAAAGCAACACTTTGTGTGGATCTTCTGACACACCTGGTCCTTCTAAGCCAGCAGCCGTTGAGGATCATGAGCAGAAAGGTGCTAAAATCCAACCATTGCCAGAGAGGGATCATTGTGCACCTCTCTGTAATATGGAACAGGCTCCAGCCAAGGAGCTGGTGTCAGAATCAGAAGATGTCCTGATACCTGAGGAATCAATCATCCAGGAGGAGGTTGCTGAAGAGGTTGAGACGAGTATTTGTGAATGCCAGGAGGAGAACCATAAAACAGAACATGAGTTTTCTGAGGAGTCAGTCAGTCCAGCTGGCACAAATGAAGAATCAGAGGCAGCGCAGCTTGGAGACAGTGCTGAGTCTTGTGTCACGATGAATGATGTAACTGATACTGTATCTCACATTGAAATTAAAGTGGAGTTGAAGTCAGAGTGCCCTCAGGAGGAGATGTCAGTTGTGATAGATCAGCTGGAGGATTGTGTATCACCAGCACGATCAGCCTCATCCACAAACTCTGTCAGTGATACAGCAGAGAAGGATTCTGAGTCTGCGAAAGAGATGATTGCTCCAGAAATCCCAAATGTTGCTCTGGAAGGCTCCTTGTTCTCTGGTGGAGGCGTTGCGGTGGATATGGAGCTTCAAAGTGACCCTGATGAACAACTGTCTGAAAATGCCTGTATTTCTGAAACTTCCTTTTCCTCTGAAAGTCCGGAAGGACCATGTGTCTGTATCGCCTCTCCTGGGGGAGACACTCAGTCAACCTCAGAGGAACCCTGTACTCCAGCATCTCTTGAAACAGCTTGCTCATCTGAAGTGTCCAGTTCTGAAAACACTGAAGGTGATATTCAGCAAAAGGCCACTGATGAAAACTTGAATACACCCTTGATGTCAGAAATTTCTCCAATGTCCACCTCTCCTATAACCTCAGAAGCATCTCTTATGTCAAACTTACCTTTAACATCAGAGGCATCCCCAGCTTCTAACTTACCTTTAACATCAGAAACATCTCCTGTATCTGATTTACCTTTAACATCTGAGACATCTTCAGTATCTTCTGTTCTTCTGGCCTCAGAAACCTCTGTGGCAAATAGTTTACCTCTTCCATCAGAAACATCTCCAATTTCTAATTCCTCYAGCAATGAAAGACTTATTTTGCAACAGAGGAAATCACCGTGTTTGTCAGATGACTCCCTTCCCACTTTGAAAGAAGAAAGCTCTACCATTGCTGAGGTTGCTCAAGAGGAGGATCTCGTTCTTCAGCCAAAGCAGCTTCAGAGTGCACCTGAAAATATGAAAGTTGGTCCACTAGCAATTGTGCCAGATACTTCAATACTGGAAGAGACGCAAAGCAAAACCCTCAGTCATCAGTCATGTAAGTCACATTCTGAAATTGAGAAAACCTACGTTGCATCCATCCCAGAACGTTCTTCACCAGAGGTAATCAAAATTAAAAACCACAGTGGTCAGCAAAGAGGGGACAAGAAAGGTACTGCCCTGGCATCAGAGGTAGCTGTCTTACAAGAAGGATCAGTGGGCAAAAGTATTGACCTGCTTCCATCAAAATCACACGATAAACTATATACCTCATCTCTGGAGAAAGCTTCGTTCTCCGAAGTGTGCAGAAGTAAATCTCACAAGCTACCTGGCAGCAGCCAAAGCCGACTGGAGAGTTCACATTCTTCCAAGTCACTAGAACCCACAAAATCCGCTGAAATGAGGAACGAAAGCAGAGACCCAGAGATCCCAAAGAGGAAAACAGCAGAGCAGCACAGCTTTGGAATCTGTAAAGAGAAGAGAGCTAGAATAGATGATGATCAGCCTAACCGTAGTGCTTCATCTACAAGTCCATCTGATAAAGATCACCCCCCCAGAGAAGAACCCCGAGTTCCGCCCCTTAAGGTAAAGTAATGAAAACAGGATGACTTGGAAACTAAAGGCTTTATTACCCCTTCTCTGCTGACTGTGTGTACACACATATGTGTATACATACATATACACCAATACATAGTGTATTTTTTGTGGAGATGTGAGGGACCTTACTACTGACCTTTTGCTTTACTCTTCCATTCCTACTGTGCCAAATTACCTCCTGATACAGATTTACCTGTAAGTGTTCAGTGAGCTGAACACTTCTTTGCTACAGAATTGCTTCTGGTTATGGAAAAGTTTTTCAGACTCCATGGCTTAATCTAGTTYAAGAGCTTCTCCTCATTTACACAGGGCCACTTGTCTGTCCTCTAATTGCCCAACTTTATTGCCCCCTTATTCTCCTGTAAATGACTTCTCCAAAAAGCACAAATAAAAATGTTACCAAACAAATACCGAGAAAACCAACTAGTGCCCTAATCCAGCGAGAGAACCTGAAGACAGAACCAACCAACATTTCCAAATCCCCTTGGCAGGCTGTGGCATGGTTAAGGGTGAAATGTAAGAACTCCCCGTGGAATTAATTGAAAGCTGAGATCTTGTTATCTGGGGAAGTGTGTAGTCGATATCTGTACAGATATCTTAATAGCAAAGTAAAAAAAAAAAAAAAAAAAAAGATTCTCCAGCTAAGTGTATCCTTTTTACCTATTATTTTGCTATGCAAAAAAAAGAGAATTCCAGTTGAAAAGCTCCCCCTGCCCAAGTGGGAGATCTATAGATTTAATTATATTTACTCTCAGCATTTTGTCCTCATAACTTTGTACATGATGATCCAGTTTTCTGGATTTAAACGATTGGCTTTGCAATAGCAGTTCCTGATTATTCAGAGATGCCCTTTTTCCACATTTATTTTTAACTACTGCAATCACTGAACATTGTTAATATGGCCAGAGGGCCAAATACAGTAACTGTTTTAATCATTAGCATGGCAGTATATTTCAGCTAATTTATTTTATGAGCAGTGATGCAATTGGAAGTTAGCCCATTCTCAGTCTAGTAATATTTTTTCATATTTGGAAAGTGTCTATCTAGCCTGATAAATTGTAATCATTCTCTAAGCACAAAGAAAGTAGATCACGGGGGAAGGAGGAAAGGGCATGACTATAATAATAAAAATAATCAAGCTTTTAGAGCTTTAGCAGTTCTGATGATGCAAAGTAGAAACTAAAAAAAATTACTGTTGAAATGAAAAGCAAAATGTTTAAAAGTAATTGGAAGATTGTATACTTTAAATACATTTACATAAATGTTAATTGAATTGTTAAACAACCGATTGAGAAATCTGTTGATGCAAGAGATCAGTTACAAATAATGGATTTTTTTCTTACCTATCTTGCCAGACAAAACCCACCTGAAAATGTGTAGTACTAAATTCAGAATTGGTCTTTTGGCAGGGGTTTGTTAACATGTGCAAAATGGAGCGAGTCTGACACCTGTTCTCATGAAAAAGGGCTTCACAAAGCTCCACAGTATTAGGCACCAGTGAGCAGTGTTTATTGATAGGCCAGGAATTGAAATGTGTGGAAGAGTGAAATAGTGCAGTCCTCCAGACCAGGACAGAGGCTGCCTAACGGTGGGGATGTCTGAGGAGACTCCCCCTGTTGTTGTCTATCCACTAAAAGCAGTTGTATATGGGAGCACCATCTTCCTTTTGATTGCCACTCATCCCTAATGGGACATCAGATGCTTTCAGCCTTGCCCAGTCTAACCAAATTCATCTTCCTGAAGCCTCCAGGCAGTGAGTGAGGATACCGAGACACTGATTGTCTGAAAATAACTGCACAGTCATTTCTAGAATCACTTTGTGGGAAATACATATTTGGCCTTTATCTGATTCCACCCAAAACACCYTATCTTTTGTTATTAAAAAAGGGAAAGAATCATGATTCTCCTAAGCCCCTGTCACATAACTCCTACTTCCCATCATATCTTATAACTGACCTTTTTCTATAAATTCTTTCTAGTACTAAGTTCCTTTCAGAAGAGAAGACACAACATTAATCARTAAGTCCTATTATTATGGACAGCCAGTAAACGTATGTTCCTTTAAAGAAATTGAAAACTTCTTTTGCCAAGCTCTGGTTATCTAAGAGAGTGTAGGAGCTATAAAGTGTTTCCAGGACTCTTAATCTCTAAACTTGAAAACATAATTCCAGTGATTTTACAGGTTATTCTTTTGCTTAAAATTGTAGATATTTAATTAATATGTAGATTTTGAGTGTGTGTAAGCTTGAAGGTTTAGTTTCTGAAATGCAGTAGTGCAGGCGGTGTGCCAGGGATGCACTAAAGTGGATCTCTCAAAGTTAGGTGTGAGGAAGGGAAAGGTGCATCTTCTGGTGATTCACTTTTATACTACTAATTAAAAAGTCCTGTGGTGTAGCATGTTCTGCAGTGAGTGCAGACTTTTCCGTGTACTGTGCAGAGTCAAGATTGATTGCCTATTGAATGAAGCAAAAGACAGGCAGTTCCTAATGTCTCAGTGGAGACCAAGGAGCAAAAGCACTACATGATGGTTATTTTTTCCACATATCTGCAGCAAGTGCTTAGTAATAGGGGCTTTCTTCCATATCTGTTGGTCTTCTCAATTGGATACACTGCAGATCAAACAGGTTTGACATATTACTATCAGATAAGCCTTATCTGGTCATCCGGTTCAGTCTTCTTTCTTTCAGTTAAAGGGGCCAGCATGTGTAGGCTAATACAGGTGTCAGTTATTCCTGCCAGAGCATGATCAAATACAACAGTGTAAATATCATTAATTTTTATCATTTTTATTTCCAGCTGCACTGGACAGTATTTCCCTTCGTTATCCTTCTCTAAGCCTTTTAAGAGATAGCAGGTTATTCTAGCAAATCTATGATCTCATAAAACATACCGATTTTTTTTTTCCTTCCTGCAGATTCAACTCTCMAAAATTGGACCACCCTTTATCATAAAGAGCCAACCTGTTTCCAAACCAGAACCTCGAGTTTCGCCAAGTACATCAGTGAGCAGTGGGAGAAACACTGGGGCCAGAACCCTTGCAGATATCAAAGCAAGAGCTCAGCAAGCGAGAGCCCAAAGAGAAGCTGCGGCTGCGGCGGCCGTGGCGGCAGCTGCCAGCATCGTCTCTGGAGCAATGGGGACCCCCTGCGAAGGTGGCAAGACCAGAACCCTGGCACACATCAAGGAGCAAACCAAGGCCAAGCTGTTTGCAAAGCATCAAGCCCGAGCTCACTTACTGCAGACCAACAAAGAAACCAAGTCACAGTTCAGCTCAAAGGAAAGTACCTCGTCTCTAGAGATACCAACTTCTACAGATACAAAGATTGAAGGCTCTACTGGTGTCATTATAGTTAATCCTAACTGCAGGTCCCCCAGCAACAAATCTGCCCATCTTCGGGAGACTACCACTTTACTGCAGCAGTCACTTAACACAGCTACATTGCCAGAAACTGCTACTGACATATCAGTGCACAGTTCTGATGAAAATATACCTATGCCACAGTTGTGTGAGAAAGTTATTTCATCTACCTCTACTGAAAGTAACAGTGTGCCAGTGCTTTATAATAAAAATTCCGTCTCTGTGTCCGCTTGCAGCACTGCTATGTCTGGAGCAATTAAAGAACTTTCTTTTGCAAGTTCTGTTGATAAATCTTCTGTTTTAATGTCTGTTGACAGTACAAACACAGCAGTTTCAGCTTGCAATATAAATATGCTGAAATCCATCCAAGGGGCTGATGCTGCCTGCATAGCCATTGCACCAAAATGTATTGATCACAGTAACGTACCAGGCTCCRTAGAGAGCACGGTCTTATCCAACGCCATGGAGGAGAAAAGGTTGCCACTACCRAGCAGCAATGCGAGCAGTGCAGTCTCCAGTCATTATGCCACTGTGCCAGCTTCATCCATTGCAAGTAATTTGCCAAATCATCTCTCTGGTAGTTCCGTACTGATTCCCCCGGTGGGGACTACCAACAGATTTTCTTCTGATAAGATAGCCATAACTGGGTGCAATGAGCAAAGTACTGTCCCAATTCACACTACTGCTAGGTCAGCTTTAAGCTGCAGCGAGGCTGTTGCAGTGGCAGACTCCGTTGCAAGGCCACCCATTTCGATGTTTACTGGTAACATGGTGACAATAAGCTCTTATGATAATGCTACTAAATTAAATGCCGATCTCTTAGAAAAAAGCTCTGGAGCCCGAAACCGGATAGATCTCACGGGTAAATCTCAGCCCGTGAGCTTTACACAAACTGCCATGAATAGATCTATACCTTGCAAAGTCATTGTAGACCACACTACGAATCTGAATGCCAGCCTGTCACTGTCTTCTGCTATTGAAAGTGCAGAGAGCAGCATAGACCTGCAAAGCAGACCTGTGAGGGCAGAAGCTGCCTTACCAAGTATAGCGTGTCCTCAGGTCTCCGTCATAAGCAGGCCTGAAGCAGTTTCTAATGAAAGCCTTGAGCACAGCTCCAGCTTTATGACCACTGCAGCAAAGCAGGACAGCAAGAACTTGCAGGCAAGTTGCTCTAGTCTTCGCGAAGTGCCTCTTGCTCCTCAAGATAAATTAATTGAGGTGGTTGCTTCCGGCCAAGGTTTTGTTGAGCAGCTAAGAGGTCCTTCAGCCTTTAAAAGTGAAGCAGATGCTGCCTGTGCCGGTCAGTATAGCACGAACAGTCGAATTTGCTGGCATGACGAAGAGGCAATGAACACAGATCAGCCAGTGGTCAGCAGCCATCTTAGCTCCCATAAGCATAAAGAATACGCTGAGCAAAACTGTTTGAAAAATGTCAAAACGGAACCTTCCAGTTACACACAAATGTCTGACCTGCAGTCCAGGGGTCTGTTGACGAGCATGGCCGTTCCTGTTAAATCAGAAGCTAATGAGCCTGACAAGTGCTTCAGGATGGACACCGAGGACTTTGCGGGGCCCGAAATGGCAGCCCGGCCCGCACAAATAGCCACAAGCGCACAGCCAGCGCAGGCCCCCAAGACATCCATTCCCGATGCCATGGAGGACCCTCTGTCGCTGAGCACGGACACCCTGAAGCGGGTGTCGAGCGCGGGGGGCTCCGGCTGCCGCTTGTCCTCCGTGGAGGCCAACAACCCCCTGGTGACGCAGCTCCTGCAGGGCAACCTGCCTCTGGAGAAAGTGCTGCCGCAGCCCAGGGCTGGGGCCAAGCTGGAAATCAACAGGCTCCCCTTGCCTTTGCAAACTACCTCAGTATGTAAAGCGGCAGCGTCCGACAGAAATATCGTGGAGCATCCTTCCAGCTCTCCCGGTGCGGATGGCAAAGGATTTACGGCGAGCGGCATAGCCCCGCTGCAAATCAGGAAGCGCGAAAACCACCCGAAAAAGAGGATGGCCAGGACTGTAGGGGAGCACGCTCAGATCAAATGTGAGCCTGGGAAGGTGTCAATGGACACAGATGTCAAAGTGGCTCCCTGTGTGATTAGTTCCAGCATGAATCAGCTGGGGCCCGGCCAGCCGTTCAAGCAGGAGTGGCTGAGCAAGCACGCGGTTCAGAGCCGCGTCGCGCACAGCCCCGAGATCAAGCAGCAGAAGAGGCCGCTGCCTTCGTGCAGTTTCCAGCAGGGCTTGTTTCACGTCGATAAAAACGGCAGCTTTCATGCAGAAGCTAATACCTCACATAGACAGCATTTTTACCAAATGTCCATGGCTGCAAGAGGCCCCATTCCGACGGCAGCTTTGTTGCAAACTCCTTCAAAAGGCCCCCCCGGCTGCAATGCCTTTGCTTTCAGCAGACACCTGGAACAGAAGGGCTTGGGAGACGTGAATATTTCTACAGCCGCGCACCAGCTGAGGCTCGGGAGCGTGTTTTCCCCTAATCTTCAGATTAAGGAGGGTGATGACGTCGCCAGTGCCTCTCAGACTCTGCAGAATAAAACCCTCGTGCATCCGCCCCCTCCCCCGCCGCCCCTGCCGCCCCCTCCCCCTCCTCACCCAAATGCCGAAGTCCCCCCTGATCAAAAACAACCGGCAGTTACCATGGAAACCACTAAAAGACTTGGTTGGCCTCCGCCAGCAAGCATCTGTAGCAATATAAAATCGGAACCTATTTCCTTTGAGGAAGGTTTAAGCAGCAGCTGCGAACTGGGCATGAAACAAGCCTCCTATGATCAGGGCGAAGTGAAGGAGCAGCTGAAGGCGTTTGCGTTGAAAAACGCAGATTTCTCTTCCTATTTGCTGTCCGAGCCGCAGAAGCCTTTCCCCCAGCTCGCTGCCCAGAAGGCGCAGGCGCAGCACCCCCAGCAGCAGCAGCAGCTCTGTGGGAACTACCCGACCATACACTTTGGTAGTAGCACAAGCTTCAAAAGGGCCGCGTCTGCCATCGAGAAGTCCATTGGGATTTTGGGGAGCGGCTCGAGCGCCGCCGCGGGCCTCCCTGGCCAGAGCGCCCCGATGCCCGTGCAGAAATTTGCTGACAGCAGCAACGCGGACGAGCTGGAATTGAAGTGCTCCTGCAGGCTGAAAGCCATGATCGTGTGCAAGGGCTGCGGCGCCTTCTGCCACGACGACTGCATAGGGCCCTCCAAACTGTGCGTAGCTTGCTTGGTTGTGCGGTAGAAGCTGGAGCAAAGATGCAGTATCCCTTGTGAGCACGGGAGAGCGGGACCCAGGCACGGGGAAATTGTGGCAGGTTAGGCCGCTCTCAGTTTGCAAATGGTTGGTTGGTTTCTTCCTTATTTTTTTTTTGTTTGTTTTGTTTTGACTTTATTCCATGTGGTGCTTTCGGAATTCAGTTATTCCTCCCTGATTGACATTCCCTGGAAAGAAGAGGAAACATGTAGAACTAGTTAAAAAGAAATGACAGCATTGCTCCTAAGGCTTCTATGAGCTCCCTCGTTATGTTAAAAAAAAAAAAAAACAAAAAAACCTCTAGTAATGCATGTCATTCCCAGCTTCTATTTATTTGCACAAAGTGCAGCACATTTTCTCCCACGTTTTAGATAGTTAACACAAGCCACAGGTTAAAGATCAATGGAAGACTAACTCGACAAAAAGTGCAGAAAAAAGCTATGCAGAATGAGTAACACACTGAATACTGACTTCTTATTTTGAGCGGGGTGGAAAGGTGTGGGTTATCAGCCATGATAGCGTCTAAGTTGGTTTGCATTTTTTTCTACTGATGTTTTCTTCAACCGACTTTTACTATGTGTGGCTAACACATAGCCAGCTCACCTAGCAAAAAAAAAAGGAAGGTAGATTGTTAGAGGAGTTCCCTCATGTGCCTGTTGGGAATTATGGAACTGCCATTTCCATCGTCATCTCTTCTTGTTGACTCCTTGCGACAGATTTGGGAGCGTGATGGGTTAGTGGGACCAGCACTGGAATCTGACTGGCTTCAATAGAGACTGGAGAAAGCAACTTCTCCACCGGGGATTAGAATCCTGTTTTCCTGTTTCCTACTCAAATATTTTATTATCTGTTTTTGCCTCTCTCTAATCTAGCCACTTGTTTTGTCAGCCCTAMATATAGGGTCAGACTTATGTTAACAAGTTCTGGATGTTTTACTTTTTCCATGGCCTAAAATTGATGCATTGCTATGATGAATGATTAAGGAAAGATTCTAATTGTTTATTGAGTTGAACGTCAGACTATGAGTTATTTTTGCTTTTATGTGAATTACTCTCTATTTAAATTATATTTCAGAGTTTTGCCATTTAAAGTAATTCTGAAAATGACTTATAACTACCTTTTTGTTAAAAAAAGGAATTCAGACCACTTACCTTACTTTTCAGAAAAAGGACATAAAAAGGCATTTTTGGAAGGGATACTGCATCTTTAAAGTAATCTTCACTATTTATCCAGTACTGTATTTACACTTAGGTCTATAGCTGCATTCCAGATGCATTAGCCACTGTAACATCAGAGAAGAACAACAACTTTGGGCCAGTATTCATTTAAAAGAAACGTGTTATTAAAGGGATAAAGCACATGCAGTTGCTGGGAAGATGAAAATACCTTAGTTTCTTTACTCCCAATTCAAGAACRTTAAATGTGGAGAGCAAGTCATCCATCTACCAGGTTGTGGTTGGATCTGCCCAAATATGAGYATCAGAGAGAAATGTTATTTTTGCCATCACAGTAGAACCTCACTAATCCAAATACTTTACAGTCTGCTCCAAAAACCTTCCAGAGTTCTCAGAGATGTAAGAAGAACACGAGGTGTAATACTGCTTGGATTTCTGTGTTTTAATAAGTAGGTAAAGCTGCATTTACTGTCTTACTCTCAGTTATTAATGTGAACAATAAGTCTACATTTAGGAAACAAAAAGTGCATTTTACAATTTTTTTTTWATATGAACATTGTTTTCATACTTGCTCGTAAGGGGTGATTGGTCTCCCAGACGTYGGTGCATATTAGTGAGGTTCTACTAAGTAGAGGAACTACTTATTTTCTTGTGGGACCATTTTTGCAAACATGGTAAATGCCATTTATTGTCTTAAAAATGATCTGGAATATCTGATGACCTACATTCCTGCTGTAGGAAGCTCTATGGTGCCCCCCTATATTCTATTTCGTAGTAGTTAGCAACATATCAATATTAYTTTTGACACTGTGTGATACAAAGGCCATTTGTTGCTAATACAATAGTATATTTTTTCTATACAAAAGTGCTCCTTAATGTGAAGCAGCTTCTCAGCACTTTCAGGTTTTTTGGTAGGAAAATGATAAGCCAGCCAGGCAAAAACCTAGAGGTAACCATCTGAAAATCAGCCTCAGTGCTATGCCAGCTGCGGGCAAAATAGAGACTGGAGAATACTCATGAGTTGCATGGGCATAGTCAGTTAATGCATATCAAATTCATATTCGAGGAGCCTTTGTATTGGAATTGTACTATATTGTATTTATACTCGGTATAGGTAGGTTACTTTTATTTCTTTAAAAGACAGTAACCAGTCTTACATGTCTAATAACCTGTGTTTCTCCAAGCCAGCTGGGAATCCTTATTTCTAGCTCAGGTTTTCCTGTCCACAGCACATAAGCCAATATTTGCTTGTACTTGCATCTTGAAATACTTGTATTGACTGACAAAACGCAGAAATAAATTCCAGCCGCGGAAAGGTTTTGGTTTGTTCAAAGGATAAAGGTGTGGCTAATGTGGTAGGTACTTCATTCATGTCATATTGTCATTTTGTATCAGGATTGCAACCTGCATGTGTGAGGTGATGATAAAATGTTATTTTAAATGTCATTAGACTGAATGGTGCTATGTTATATTATTCGACTGACCAAACTCTTCCATAGTGCACTTCCATTGATTTCATTCTTGAGTCACCAGAGTTGCACCAGGAATAAATCTGACCAATTAGTTAGAGACAGTTGTGAAGTGTTGTTACTGATTAATAGTTTTAGAGTATTAAAATTTTGAGAAGCAACTGTGATGATTTAGGAGCCCTGTTTAGGACTTCTGTCCTTGTTGAGGACTGAATCCAAGTACGAATGAAAATCTTACTTGGATTCCTACGTCACACAAATGCTTGGAGAGAAGTGACCCGTGCTCTTAAATGAGAACACAGTCGCCTTCAGAAGTTAATTTTGAGCAATTCCTCTTTGTTTGTTTGTTTAATTGTCCAAATTTCAAGCCCAATGCCATTATGTTTTCTAATGACCATGTAGTGTGCAACATTGGGTGTTAATGGTTTATGCACTGAAAAGTGGTGAAATAATTGCTTGAGATCACACTGCTCTGTGTTTGCGTGTGTGTGCGTGTCCAGCATGTGTTATTTACATCCTTTCCATTGTTTTTAATCTCCAAAGTTGTTCCCCCACTCCTACCCCAGGAGCAGCACTTTTGGGAGAGAGGGAGAAACGCTCTTTGTTCCTTCCTCCCTCTTTCTTTTTCTCTTTAACTGCATACCTGTGAGATATGCAGAGAGCATTAGGGCATTTGCAGTGTGTGTGTGTGTCTGTGTGTTCCCACGCAGGACTAATTTTCCAAGCAAAAAATCCCTTTGAAATAATGTAAAATTAAAAAAAAAAAAAAAAAAGAAAAAAAAAAAAACACATGAAGAAAGAGTGAACGGAGTACTCCCTTGTTTGCATTTTATTTACCTGCTGAGGTCTAGTACATGAAATAAAGTACTGTTTCAAGGACAAGAATCAAGGTTGAGCCATACAGGAGAAGGGGTGTTCTGTGTCCCRCGGAGCACCTTCCTGAGGGAGGTGCGTGTTGTCAGGATAAGCAAACTRCGGAACGTGCAGACGGAGTTCAGGGCCCTGCAGTTCCCTGCGCAGGCGACAGATAAACTGATGCATATGGTGCTTTATACTGCAATTCCTGAAGAGAAATTCCCTTATGCTGCACCCCCATACAAACACACGCACAATTCCCGAATAGCTCTTGTCGCCTCTGGTCGAGCCGTGTCCCCGCGGGGTGGTGAAGAGCCGGGATGGACACGGGATGGACACGTGGGAATCAGCCCCGCGAGGATCCCGGCCCCGCGTAGCCCAGTGCGTCCCAGTCTACAGCATCCTGTTGTCATCATGCTTTGTCACTGTAAAACCAACGGGAAAAGAGAGGAAAAAAAAACAAGAAAAAAGCATTTTTTAGTCTAATTTAAGAAGATGCTTCTTTTATAGCACATAATATTTCGCTTTGTACTATATTTGATAGTTAAAGAATAATTTAGTCCGTAGAATAACTTTGTTGTATTTGTACTGTTCATGAATGTTACAAGAAAAGTGCTTTACTTTGTTGCCATAATTCTCTTGTACTGCTGTAAGATATTTTTTTTCTGCTTTACAGAAACTTAACTCGATTCACATTTCCAGTACAGGGTTTTTTGTGTGTATGTAATTTTTTTTTGTCAGTATTCTGAATGTTTACATCTGTTCAACATTAGCCATCCTATGCCTTTATTAGGGCAGTATTACTCCTGCAGTATAACAGCAATGTGAAATCTGCTCGTCCTTAACATGCATGAGGAATGGAGATTTACTGGGGAAATCCCTAACGTGCATAGGTATTTTTTCCGTCCGCATTCAGTGAAGTACATACCCTCCTTCAGTCCTCTACCAAAGAAAATAATTATTCCCACAGGACAARCTCCGAAAATGGTTCTCTGCATCTTCAGAAGGGGGTGTAGGTGATTTCAGCGGGATTGCTACAGTTCAATGCTGTTGTGCTTTGCTTGGTTACCCACCTAGATGCGGTTGGGTGACATTTTAACAAGTTTTGGTTTTGAGACAGTGTTTTGTTTAGAATTCAGGGATCATGCTTTCTTTAATGGTGCTCTTTGTTTTACTTCGTGKTTTTTTTTAAGAATACAGAACATTTTGTTGCCTCCAGAAATGACCATTCACAAGAATCATAAATAAAATGATTTGTCTTCGTAACTTCTCTCTTCTCCCTTTCCTTTTCCCTTCCTTGTCCCTTGAAAATAACAACTTGGACTTCAATATTAAAATATTCTGGAAAAAAAAAATAAAGAGATAAAATAGTATTTGTCATTTGCTTATTTTATGTTCAGTGCCTTAGGCAGAAGACCCTACTTGTGCACATCTATTGTATGTACAGGTTGGTGAAATAGAAATGACAGAGAAAAAGTGGTTCTACTTGAGAGTTT